GCATTCCTCCAGGAGAATATTCTATTAAAACAAAGACCTTAAATTGAAATCAAAACACAACTGACAAGGCAAACCTGTTTGAGAACTGGGAGTTCTAAACTGTGTCTTTTTGAGGATAAATTTCTTTTCAACTTCCCCCCTCTTCGTTCTATTATTTTTATACAAGGAGGAAATTATCTTGGGAATCAAAATTGTCCAGTTCCTTTTCAAATGGACATACGGTACAGTGTTCTTTTAATTTTTCAAGGGGTGCACTGTGAGGGGAAGTTGGGCAGATCCTGGCTGCCACCTTGATGGGTCCAGCAGAGCCCCAGCTCCCACCTGGCCCAGCAGCCCCTCTGCCCATGAAAGCAGAGACCTCTCTACCTCCTGCATGGCTCCTGGGGTACTCCATGGCCAGCATTTCAAGGAAGATGCCAAGATGGGCTGTGGAGTGAGTGGTCAGCCACCCCCTAAACTATTTTTTGCTGCTAATGCCAGTTTTGACAAGAGCTCAGGCTTGAGGAGGGTGTTACACAGAATGAGCCTTGTGTGCCTTAGATAGAGACACTGACTCTCTGCTGTCTGTTAGGTACCAGGTAAGAAATAGACAGGTTCACCAGCTGGGATACAGAAGCTCTGATGTTCATGGAGGTTTTCACCAGCCCCTGGCCCACCCCAGGTGCTATTGAATGTCACCAGGCTTCATAATGAGATCTGGACCTTCATCTCCCCCTTCTGTCTCCAGCCCATCAGCCCATCCACTGGATGGAAAGCTGCCAGAAAATTACTGGTCAAAGTCCCTGCAGCACAGGAGAGGCTGCTCTTGTGTATTTCCTTCATGGTTTCCAGCAGCCTCTTGTTATGAATGTCAAACCCCTGCATTTCCCTTGAAAAGACCAAACAAAGCCTTCACACAGGCTGTTAGTTATTCTGCTGCTTTTTACATCCCTTTCTCCTGACTTTTTGAATGGATTAAGAAACTCTCAGATATTTGTACCTGGGGGAAGTCTCAGTGACTCGCCTTATATGCAAATTCTGAAAGTTTATAATTCAAACTGTGTTGATTAGGTACAGTAAATAAGTATTGATTCCAACTAGATGGTTTATGTAACTAAGCAGCACAGCAGGAATGAAGCATTACAACTATTACAGCTGCATGTGCAAATTACAGAGCTCTCATTTATTGGAATAGTTGAAATGAACTGCTCCTGCTGTGCTGATTAGTTAAATAAGCCATCAAATCAGAGAACATAACCATGTGCTATAACACCATGCTCAGTCTGGAATTATGTATTGCACTACAGCATTTGTGATTCATACCAACCAGTCATCCCTCTAACCAACTCAAGGCAGAGGGTGATTTGTCCTATCCTAAACATAAAATGGGATATTTATCCTCCACAGATATTTAAATGCAGAGTTAGCCTGTGGTGACTAGCTAGGGCTTTGAAGAGTTTGTGAGCATGAACTGCACAGATATTAAATGTTAGCAGAGAGCAGGTGGGAAAGACTTTGTGAATAGGAGCCACATCTCAATTCCAGGCAGGGCTGGCCATGACCCTCCAAATCCAAGTGCTGTCTAATGGTGCCCTGGCAAAGCAACTCTCATCTCTCAGGTGTGGCTGATCCCCCAGCTGGTCCTGCAGGAGAGAGTTATACTAGCAGCCCCATGGTGAATTTTATGGAGAGATTACTTTTAGCATTTTTAGTATTTTTTTGTTGTCACACCCACACAACACGTTGAAAAACAAAGGCAACAATGCATCTCACACGCAGAGGGGGAGAAGATTTGTGATTGTTCCTACTTTTATGGTCTTAGATACTTATTAGCTGCAGTAGGTTTGCTATCCATTTGGAAAGCTGCACCATGGGTTCTCCCATGCTGTTTTTGCACTCTTTCTTATGCATCAACTTCCTCCTCCATCCAGGGACCATAAGAATTCCTGCTTAGATGGACTTCTGATCTGGCCCCCTAAGGCTGTCCTAATTTTCTTACCTCTTGAACTGTCACATCTTGGAAGTCTGCCTTTTGAAAAATTTTCATATAGAATAAGGTGGAGAAGAGATGCAGGGAACTGTAGAGCTCTGTATGGTTGGGTGACATTGGACTGAGGAGTGTGGGTTGAAGGAACAGAAATGAATGTGCATTGATATTTTAGGCAATGCTGATGCAAGGAGCAAAAAACCCCTGGCTTCTGTGTGGCAGCCCTAAGGGATGCTCTGACACAGCACACATCCTTTTACTGGGGTTTCAGAGTGATGAGCTCCTCCTTTGAGCATACCCTCCCTGTTTATTCTCCCATCAGTGAGGATGGAGGGCAAGGCTGTGGTACTGCCAGCCAGTGCTGGTCCTGGCACAGGCTCAGCACTACAGAAAGGCACTCCAGCAAAGCAAAGCCTAGTAACTCATTTCATCACATGGATACGTGCTTCTCCCAGACACTTAACTGGGTGGCCCACAACATTGAGCTTGGCAGCATGCTTTAGTAATCTTTTGGGGGGATGCCTGACAGCCCTTGCACAACCCATGTGAATGAGACACAGTGTCTCAGAGGCAGGGAGCAAATACACACTAAGCCACAAAAACATGAGGCACCCATTAACGGACTGGATCTGATTTTGTAAAATCTGCCCAGATCTTTGGCTTAAGCCTTACAGAGATGTGATGAAAGCTGAATATCAAGTGGAGTGGAGTTACATAATGTTTTGCAGTGACTGGTAAGATTGATGACCTAGAAAATAGGATTTGGCACTGCTGGCAGCAGCTGATGTGTGTGCTGCTGTTATGTGCAGGTAATGGTGGGTCTCTCAGCCAGGCTGCCTCTATCTCAGATCCTGGCTCAGGTTTGTTCCTTCCCTACACTGGCATACCTCCTGACTTCAGACTGACCTCCATACTCAGGAGATGTTTTCCTGTTTTCTGTAAGCCTCCTCTCAGATGCCCCTCAGTGGCCTGGTGATGGGGATGGACTGCACCCACACCCAGTTTGTGGAAAATTGGTAGAAGGATGAGCTTCAGTGGTCCTACCTAGCCTGAGTACTTCTCTGGCTCTGTAAGTCAGTAATGCTGCACCTGCTGTGCAAAATGAGAGTTTGTATTCTGCAGGGCAAATAAATCCAATCCTAATTGGAAGTCCAGGGGAACTGGCAAAGCTTTACTTCTGATATCCTCTGGGAAGTTCTGGAGTTTGCCTCCCAATACAATCCAAGCGCATTGCCAAAACAAATCAACTCCATGGCATAACCATGGGTCTGCAACAGAAAATAAAGCTAACAGAAAATGTTAACTTCTGATTTCTGTTGCCACAAGCAGGAAGAGGATCACAGTTTTGGTCTATGAGCCGGGCTTCATGCACTACAAAATTACCTCCATCCTTTCTAGCCTCAGCTGTTCTGTGATTCTATGATTGAATGTGAAGGTTCTGAAGCACAAGTCATGTGGGGAGCAGCTCAAGGAGTTGGTATTGTTTAGCCTGGATAAAAGGAGACTGAGGGGACACTTTATGCGTCTCTGGAGCTATGAGAAAGGAAGTTTTAGCAAGGAGAGGATCAGTCTCTCCTCCCAAGTAATAAGAATAGGACAAGAGGAAATAGCTTCTGGTTGCACCAAAGAAGGTTTAGATTGGGTATTAGCAAAATTTCCCTCATGGAAAGAGTCATCAATTATTAGAACAGGCTGCCTGAGGTACCGGTTAAGTCACCATCTGTGGAGACACAAAGATGTACAGACGTGGCACTGAGGGTTTAGTGGTGGACTTGGCAGTGCTAGATTGACAGCTGATCTTGGGGGTCTTTTCCAACCTTAACAGATGTATGATTCCATGGCTATATTTCTTTAGTGCTTTCTTACAGAAAGCAGTCATGATACTGTACAATACTCTGTTGCAAAAGTGAAAATATCAACAGCTGAATTTAAAAACAGAAGGACAAATGAAATTATAGAAGAGACAGAGGTGGGCTGAAGGGTTTGTAAAGGGCTCAGCACTGGAACATATTTCAATTACAGTGAATTTCCATTAATCAGCCTCAGTTCTGACCTGACTCCCAAGCAGTATAGAAATTACCATCAAAAACCCTGTAAGTGTACAGTTTTGCAAAGCCCTTCAGAGTGAGTTTTAACATGGCTCCTTGCATGTAAGGAATTTGTTACAGAAGTTGCTACAGAAGTATAAAAAGTTGAAAGCAAATTGACCATCATAATTAACCCATAATTCATAATTAATTATGAATATTAAGCATTACAATAAAAATAAAGAGTGACTTCAACCTGAAATATCCAATTATTTTTGGCCATAAAAGTATATTACAATCAGGAAAATAAATATATAAAGGCAGAAAACCTAATTGGACACTATGGGGATCTCCATTTCTTTGGGGTGCTCTGCCAAGGCACCACAGAGCCCTTCTGAGCTGAACCAAAGCAAATATTTCCCAGAAAGCATGCAAAAAGATCAAGCCACATTTGCCTCTAGGAAGGAAAAGCAGTGGCTTCAGGAGTGAACTCTTTACTGCAGCTAAAGGCTAAGGGGCAACTTGCTAAGGAGGGTTATGTGAGGGCAGGAGATTTCATTGGGACTGAGAAAGGGAGGAAATTCCTGACATCATCATTTTGTACACTTGAAGTAAACTGTTTTTGTGCCTGGATTTTCCTATTGTATATAGGTGGAAGTGGTCCTTCAAGCTGTGCTGGGGGCCTGTGGTTCAAGGGTTGGGCTGCTCCCCTTCATCGTCCAGATGTGGTGGCTGAAACACTTGGGGACTGAGAGTCTCGGTGGCTGTTCCAGCTGCCCACGAGACCCCCAGCAGGAGCACACCAGTTCACATCTGGAGCACTCCAGTGAGCCCCTCTCCCTGCTGTTCTGACTCCCAGGACAGCAAAGGTGGGAAACTCTTCGATGTGGTCATGGCCTTGCACCGTTTCCTCTGGCATAGAGCACTCAGTAAAACACCGTGGGCAGTGAGTGAAGACAACAGGCTTGTTTCAGGCAGCTAAAAGCAAACTTTGCTTTTGCCTCTAGGTCTGAGCAGCTTCCCACTTTGGGGAGCACAGAGGGAAGGCATGATTCAGCTGCTCTCATCTCACATGTTGCAAAGTTCATACTATTCCACAAGGATGTCACAGAGGAAAGCCATTTTAGAAATGTAAGTAAATCCTAGGTGGGGTAGTAGTGTTAGAGGTGTGGAGATTTTGAGAAGCGAAGATGTTAAGGGGATCATATCCAAATGCCTCCTATGGAAGCCCAGGGCCTGCCTGGACAGAAACAAGCACCAAGGAGGCTGCCTACATGGGACCACTTCCCACAGGCACCCTCGTTCCTTCCCCAACCACTTTTTCACTACCTTTTAACTTTTCACTGACTTTTTCACTTCTGCTTCTCTCCACAGGACCTTCCTGCTGTATGGGATTTCAGCACTGCCTGCTATATGGGATTTCAGCACCTACACACTGACTTGCAGTCAAGCTACCATGTCTTCTAAAACTGTAAAAGGGTGGTATAATGTACTATATTTACAAACAAACAAACAAACAGACAAAACAACAAAAAATAAGAAAAGGAAAAAAGAGCAGAGTTTACAGCAATCAGGAGAATAAATTCAGAAGTCTATGAATTCTTCAAGGGAAAGGTGATGATCATTTTAATTTTACTAGTGTCACATAACCTTGCTGGCTCTATTTAGGAAGTGGTAGGGGGTTGCCTTATCTCTGTGACAATTCATACTACCTGAGCACTTCCCACAGAGCAGATGTGGTTTTGCAATTTTGTTTTCCTTTTCATTTTTCCTCCCTGGCCCACTGGGAAATCACTGCAGCAAGAACAGAGCTGCATACACACACACATAGATGGCAGGTGCCAGTGCCAGCCCTGGACAGGAGATGGGGACAGAGAGCACCCCCAAATCAGGTGCCTGCTTATGCCCCAACACACATCTCAGGACCCATGTGGTGCTGTGTGATACCACACTTACTGTGCAACCCCAAACTCAAGCAGGCTTTTGCTTTTGAAGCTGTTCAAAACAATGACTTCAAATGCACCTGTGCAGCTGCAGAAGGGCAGTAATGTGGGCTAAAGAGGTGATGTCGAGTCCAGAATAGCAGGTCAACACTTCCTGCTCCTTTACAAGGTTCCTGGTATCTTGGACCAAAAGCAGAAGACTTGCTTTCTCCCTCATCTTTTTTTTTCTTTAGCATGCACTTTCCAACGGCATAGGTTCCCTGCCTCTGGCTACCCCAGCAGCCCTCCCAACACCCACCACCTCAGATCTGTATCTTCTGAGTTATTGATTCTCCCACCACCTTTTTTTCTTTTCTTGGTCCCCAGAAATAACAATTGTGGCTTGTCTGTAAGCAAATGAGCACTGTGAGGACTTATTAAGAAAAACATTGAAAATAGAGGTTAAAAAAAAAAAAAAAAAAAGCCCAGAATGTGACTCCTGGCATTTGGAAAGAGCCAGATTTGTGCAGAGAAACATGGAAACTCACAGTGGGAGCTGGCAGAGGCAGCCAAGTTGCATGCGTCACTAGGTTGAGTAGGGTCCCAAGGCAAGCAGCAGACCTGAGGTGACTTGTCCAGTGAGGAATGTCAGCATGAAGCACAGGCAGCAGGTACCAGGACTGTGTCAGGCAGTGAAGAGACTGAATGTGCTAAGCATAGGCATGGAGGAAAAGCAAGGAGATACCATGCTCACCTGTGGGCTGACTAGGTCCCCATCACCACTGCTCTTCCCTCCATAGCTCAGTGTGTGCTGAGGTCAAAGGCAAGGGTCTGATGCAGTTAGAGCCTTTGGGCACCAGCCAAGTGAAAGAAGTGCTGCATGGGCCCAAGACTCTATAGAAGGGTGCGAGGCAGCATGTGTGAAAACACCAGGAAGGGAGAAAGAAAATGAAGAAGAGAAGCCTATGGTAGGAGGCTAGAAGGTCAGACCAGGGAAAGACAGGGTCTGAAACAGCAGAACCAGCTGCATGGCTGGATCCATGGGCCAAGGCCAATTGTGTGCAGTTCAACAAGGAAAAGGAACAGCTCCTGCACTTGGGCCACAACAATCCCAGGCAGAGCTACAGTTTGGGGGAAGAGGGGCTGGAAAGCTGCCTAGCAGAAATGGGCCTGGGGATGCTGGTCAACAGCAGCTGAACATGAGCCAACCGTGCTCAGGTGGCCAAGAAGGCCAATGGCACCCTGGCCTATGTCAGCAATAGTGTGGCCAGCAGGACAGGGCAGTGATTGTCCCCTATACTCTGCACTGGTGCAGCCACACCTAAATTCTGTGTTCAGTTTTGAGATGCACACTGCAAACAAGGCATTGAGGTGCTGCAATCCAATGTCATCTCTATAAATGCATTTAGGTACAACATTTATGTTCAAAGACCTAAATCTTTGCTGCTATGATTTCTTTTCTTGATAATTAAATGTAATTATAGGTGGATGTCTTGTTAATTGCTTGTGTCACATGAGTGCTTTTTCTCATGGACTTCTTGACATCTTCTGAAAGTGAGTCACCCCTCCTCAATCCTGTTGGCATTGGAGAAAGGAGGAGATTTTGCCTTGGCTCCTGTTACAACAAAGGCAGCCAGATTTTGCTGACTTTTGGTATTCTTGGTGTATTCTCAAGGCAAGTAATTTTTAGGGCTGTGCTGCCTTTGAATGAGAAAGTATTATGAAAACTTTTATTTTCCCCTTTTGGTAGGAGCTTATTGCAACACACAGCACCCTGACTTTCAAATAACAAGGTAATTGCATCATCACCTAATCAGTTGCCTTAGTAACAGATTTCCTAATTTTCCCTGTTGCATTTGCATGTTCATAAGTATGAAAATCAGATGTGGGAGAAAGCAAGGAAACAAAAGGAAATCCAAGGCTTCATAGGATGTGGTCCTCAATGGGAAAGCACCCATGAGGCAGTTTGCCGATGGCCTGGGCTTTGTTTACAAACCTTTTTGGTGGCTATGGCTCCTCAGTGACACAGCAGCAGCTGGTGTTGGCTAAACAGTGGATGAAGGGGACAAATCTGGAAAATTACTGGCATCTTCTCTGCAAGGTTTGGAGGCACAGAAAGAATTAGATAATGGGCAAACCATTGTATTTGTAACTTGCAAAGGGAGAGCTAAGGCAGAGCTGGGAACCTAGCAGATAAGGAATCATGGAATCATTTAGGTTAGAAAAGACCTTTGATATCATAGAGTCCAACAATTAATTTACAATTTTAAGAAAGCTTGGGGTAAAAGGCCTGGGTTTTGGAGTGCTGCTTAATCATCGATGCTTGATTCAGCAAAGATTACCACAGCAAATGACATTTCCCTGGAATTTGCAGGAAGTGCTCCAGATTGGCTCCTGTTCAACACAGATTCAGATGGCCCCTCTGACTTTCACACTTGGAGGAGGCTCTGGAGATGCTGCTGCTTGCAATTTCAGGGGCATTTCTCCAGGCAGATCCACGGCAGCTCAGTACCTAGCAGCCTTTCAAATCCAACACTGAGCCTCAACAAGCATTTTCAGCTTTTCTTGAGCTAGCCTCAGAAGAGGAACCATGTAGCCTGGAGCTGAAAACGCTGCTCTCCTCCTTTCTGGCAAGCTTCACAGTAGAAATGTGAGTTGTGACTGACCTGGAAATAATAGGGGAGGAGAAGGTGAAGGTGATGGATGAACTCAGAACCAGCATCCAGGGCAGTTGTAATGGTTGGAGAGCAGCAATCCTTGGGGAGGGATGGGAGCTTGTCTGGTGGACATGAGCTCTGCTTATCCTGATGGAGTTTGCCATGCCTGGAGATGGAATAATAAGCTTCTCCCTGCCCTAGACACACCAGGCCCCTGAGCCCCAGGCTCTGTGAAGGCCCTGAATTTCATTTCCTGATTAACCTTAGGGACGCAATATGTGGAGGCACTGTGGAAAATGGTTTCTTTTAGTACTCCTCACAATTTGTTATGTATCTGTCTTCAAGGAGGGAGCTGAGGGCACCAGTGAGGTGCACAGACTCCCCACCTTACCCAGCACTGCCAGCACATAACTTTGAGACCTCCCCCATCAAGAGCAAGCAACTGACAACAACCACAAAGGTATTTTTCATCATGTAAACACACCCCAGGTGATAAGGCTGAGAACAAGCTCCAATCACACATTCTAAAGTACAGCTGCACCTACCTTGTAACTACCCAGTGCTGCTCATGTATGGGAAGAGGGCAAAGGCTACAGTGTGAGGTTGGGAAACACATCAGACACACAGCCATTGTGACATGGCTGTGATATCTTGAGCCTTGTTTTCAATTCCCATGTTTAGTCTCAAACTGAGTAACATTGAGAACTAGAGCATTCCTTGCTAAAAGGTGAATGTTGAATACAATGAATTAAGAAAGCACAGTATACAGAGAGCTCTGTAATTATATCATCAGAGAATATCATGTACACTGTGCAATGCTATGATTCATAATGTTACAAGTAAATAACAGGAGATTAAAAATGCTCTTGGGTTCTCATCTGTAATATAGCCCAGTTTAAGGTTATACTTATCAAAATTATCAGTGGAAAAACACTATTTCAGAGCTGAGTCACAGAGTCACACCAAGTCAGAGCTGAAGGTCTTGCTGAGAGAGCTGGGCTTCATTATCACAAGCAAGGCCGAGGTGTCCCCAAGGACTACCACATACTGGAAACACTGGGGAAAATATTATTGGATCTTTTGGGAATGGCTATGACAGGCAGGTTTATCCCTGTTTTACAGACCAGTTCTTGAAAAGCAGTTCCTCAAGGGTAAAGGACAAGGTACTCCCTGATCCAGGAGAGTAGCAGGGCATATCCCTCCCTGCCCCTGATCAGTCTGGCAGGGCACACTGCCTTTGGTGATTGCTGGCTCCCTTCATTTGGACAAGCAGCCCCCTCTCTCATGCCAGCACTTCTCTTTTCACACCTAACCAGACAGGAGAGAGTTTTCTCTCTGTGTTGTTAAGAAAGACTTCAGCAAATCCTCAATGTCAAGTGGCAGGAATCGTCATCCCTGGGAGCTGCTTTGGTAACTCAGACATGTACATGAGAAAGTCACCCTACAGAAGGGCGGGAGGCTGGGAAACAGGGTGCTGAACCTATGCACTAATTTCATCTCCCTGAGCTGGAAATTTTAAGAAATCATTTCAGTAATCCAGGCACAAACTTGCCACAAAAAAAAAAAGACAGCACAAATACAAGAAAACTTGATGGTATGGGACCAGATTTGCCTGCATATTAAGCTGAAGAAGAAAGATGCTATACATGGAACACTTGATATGTGAAATAAGGCCAGAAATGGATTTGACTGTAAACAAAGGAAATACTAGAACAGGATGTTTAAATAACTTAATATTCATATTAATTTTTAGAGCTAATTTGAGAGGTATTAACCCCCAGCTTGACAGCTAGGCAAAATACTGTGCAGGAGAGGCAGAGAGCTGAATGCAATTGGGCTCATGACCTGTAAGAAGTCTCCAAAGGTGCAGTACTGACAGTGAGGTGAGTATGAATGAGTTCTTTGCAGCAACACCTATGGCAGAGCCAGAGGTCCCTGCCTGCATTGCAGCTTCATCCCAGTGGTCACTGCACGGTGGCAGAGCCCTGCTGGTGCTCTGCTTTCCCCCATGGCAGGGGAGGCATGGTGAAGAGAG